AACAAAGCAATAACACAACTTGATCCTCATCTTTAATTTCAACATCTATATTACTCAAATCCATAAGAATGGAATCAAATGTGTCAAGATGAGATAGAATAGAGGTACCTTCACCCATACGAGTTGTATAAAGCTTATGCTTCAAGTAAAGTCTATTTTCCAACTGTCCTTTTCATATATAAGGTTTTCAATTTTTCCCACATGCCTTTGGCTGTGGTATCTACAGAAACTTCATGCAAACCCTCATTTAAGAGATTTAAGATGATACCTAATTTTGGCTTTTTATCTATGACGGCAAACTCCTCGTCCGTCATTTTATCCGGCTTCTTCTCCTTTCTTTGCAATGCCAAGTCTAAGCCATCCTGAATTAGGATAGCTTTCATCTTTAATTGCCATATTCAGAAGTTTGCACTTCGGTCAAATTTCTCAACATAGGTATTTGTTAGAGTCATTTTGGCTATTGAAACTAACTCGGTTAGATGTTGCTCTGATACCACTATAGTGGATTAATTGCCTTTCCTTTTATAGGCAAAAAAGCCTTGGCCTCCAAGGTGTAAAAGAAAAGTTACAACTTGTGCAAATGATATCCACCACAGAATGCAATATTTTTGGGTCCCAAAGAATATTGCCAACAAGGTCTACTTTGCAAATATGCTTATGCTTATATGAGATGGCCAAAATATTGGTCATATTACAACATTTGTTGAATGAGATTATAAGTCAATTTTTTGAATGCGATTTAATGAGTTATAGTCGTATTCTGCGCTTGCGATTTATAATTTTCATTTAGAGGAGCTGCATTTATTGATTCGATTTAGAAGTCGTTTATTGATTGCTATTTATAAGTTGCACTTACAGATTTCGAATTATAAGTCGTTTTACTGATTGCGAATTATAAATCATTAAATAAAATGACAATTATTGATTGTGACTTATAGGTCATATTTTGGTTACATTTTTGAAATTTTGTGGTGCTTCAGTTGATGACTAAGAGAATACTAAGACTTCCTCGTTATTTTGATGTCTCCGCCGGCCAACTCTTCTTATTTTGACGATGAAAATTATTTTTTACCCAGTTAGGTGAATTCACAAACGGAAGGACCGTTAGTTCTCGAGTGTGTTTGCTTGCTTCTGTTAGGTACAGGGGAGGACCCACATGTATCAAATAGGGTTCAAATAACCCGCTTCCTCGAAAAAAATAATGCATGTACACATAATTATCATCTAAAACAAAAACAAAACGATTATTAAAATAATATATAATGAATCCGTTTGACACATCACGCCTTTGAGTCTTCAATGCGACACTCACTCTTTAGTTTTTGACAATTATTGTTACGTTTATATGGCTGCACTACTCTTGTTAAGTTCATTATAGAATCATAACACTTAGCTTTAGCCAATTAGCAAGTTTTTTAAATCTACTAGCACGTTTGACCGAAAAATTATAAAAGAGGAAAGAACCCACTCTAAATATAATGGACAATGTTGACTAAAAACTCCATTATTTAATACCACAAATCAAATAATAAATTAGTTATATGACGATTATTTTTTTTTCTTCTGCGATCACCAAAACAATAATGTGTTGGGGATTTATGTTGAGATTAATAATTTTTATATACAAACCAAACGACTTCTAAAAAAAGAGTTTAAAATTGTATCCAATCAAATACCGTTACATAAATTAGTATGGAGGGAATAAACAACAATAACAAACAACAAACCTAATATAATCCTACAAGTGAAGTCTAGGGAGGGTAGTGCGTACGCAGATCTAACCAAAAGCGGATGTACATGGGCACTTATGGGTGCTTAAGCACCATTAACTTTGACCATATTTAGTAAATTTACATAGGTAATTGTACAAATATTTAGATAAATATTAAATGAGCACCCACAAGTAAATTTATTTTTCCTCTTCTTTTGAAGTCTTTATCGGCGAGCACCCATAACTTTATAATACCAGATCCGTCACTGGATCTAACCCCTACATTGAAGGTAGAAAGGCTATTTACAGTAAATCCTCGGCACGAAGAAAGGTGAAAATAGAGCAGAGCAACAAGCAATAACGAGAACAAAATTAAAAAACGAAGCGAAAGAAACAACGTATAGTATTAAAAATATACAATATTAGAATACAAGACTGCCACTAATTACACCAGTTATACGTAATTGATAATATTTTTCATACGGCCAATACAAAGATATTTCTGAGTACAATATCTCTGCCTGTCATTCTCATGACATGGATGCATCCCATTGGCCAATAAATGATAAGAAACGTGTGCTCATTAATCCATTACTCATCTCATCCGCCCCTAATATATAGTTAAATCTCACCTCATAGCCTAAAAAGATCATTTCCCAATACACCAAAAAATCTTTTGCAACAATGGCCTCAATAGCTGGTGTTAGTATCACAACCCCAAGAATTTTATCCAAAACATCTGATTCCCCTAAGGTTCAAGTCTTGAAATTTCAACCCCTAAACAAACCATGGAAAAACTCATCATTAGTCCAATTTGGACATGGAAAATTGTACCTTAAGGCTATAAGTGCAACACCAGATAACAAGCTATCTGATTTAGTGGCAGAGAGTGTTAAAGAAGCAGAAGAAGCTTGTGCTGAGAACCCGGTTAGCGGAGAGTGCGCGGCGGCGTGGGATGTGGTAGAAGAGACGAGCGCAGCAGCGAGCCATGCTAGGGACAAGAAGAAAGAGTCTTCTGACCCTTTGGAGAATTACTGCAAGGATAATCCTGAGACTGATGAGTGCCGTACTTATGACAATTGAGTAAAATTACTAAGTCATGTTATATTTGTTATTATTCTCAAACATAATACCTATATGGTAATTTGATACTCTTGTGTGTTATCCTGATGAATATTCTTGAATGCTAAAGTTTCCTGTTTAATTAGCTCATACTACACTTTTCTTGGATTTGCTGTCATTAACAGGGGCGGATCCAACGTAATAACCACAGGTTCCGCGAATCCAGTAGCTTTTGTTTAGATTTTGTATTTGTATTGAAAAATCAATTAAATATATAAGAATATTTAGCTTGGAACCCACTTCATTAATCCACTTATTATTCTATATTAACTTGAGATTCCTTAGGAATCCATAAACTTAAAATTTTGAATCCGCCTCTGGTCATTAAGGATGTGATCTATCACGTGGGAGCATATAATATATTCCAAACGTACTGGAATCAGCTTCGAACTTTGTGATTAATATGTCGCTAAATAGCTCATAATTAAATAAGATTAGTACGGATTTTCTGTTTAGCTATAGAACTTTTTTGTCGCTATTCCTATTTTTTTTTAGTAGTAGTAAATTGTCTCCGATACATTTTAGTGATTGTCCTCTTCTTGCAAATGAGTTAACTTTTCCACCTCTCAGACTAAAGTCTTAGATGGTATGGACATGTGAAAAGGAGAGGCACTGATGCCTTAGCAAGGAGGTGTGAGAGGTTGGTCGTAATGGGTTTGAGGAGTGGTAGATGTAGGCTAAAGAAGCATTGCGGAGAGGTGATTAGGCAGAATATGACGCTGCTTCAGCTTATCGAGGACATGATTCTCGATAGGAATGTGTGAAGGTCGAGAATTATGATAGAAGGTTAGTAGGTAATCATGCGTTTTCCTTGTCCAAATCAGTAGTATTAGGATTAGTCTTACTTTCTTATTTTTCGTGAGTTTCTATTACTGCATGCTGTTTTTTCCGTTTTGGTTTGTCTTGTTAGTTTGATGATGTCATGGTTGCATCTTTTTGTATCTTTTCTTGTGTCGATAGTCTATCGGAAACACTCTCTCTACCTTCTCAAGGTAGAGGTAAGGTCTGCGCACAAACTATCTTCTCCAGACCTCTCGCTCGTGAGAGTACACTGGATTTTTTTTATTGTTGTTGTAGTAGACTATAAATGAATTTAAAATTTTATTTTCTAAGCATAAAAGTGTGGAGCAATAGACCTTCGGAGGCAGGCAACGTGAGTACATGACATTGTAAATGTAAGATAGAAAGAAAAGAGTATCCTTTTTTCTCTCCTTTTGAAGGGGGAAAAGGGAAAAGAGAAAAATGGTTTGTGTTTGGACATGAATATAATTTTAGGTTGTTTTTGAAATTTTATGATTGATCTGAGTGAAAATTTTGAAAAATAACCTTTTGCAGTTTTCCAAATTTTCAGAAACATTTCAAAATTTATCTTCATTTTATGACCGAAAACTAATTTCAAAAGAGTTTTAAAAAAATTCGATAAAAAGTGAAAAAATCCTTATGTCCAAACGAACTCAAAGAATAATGAACTCCTGTCGATAATGAATCAGGCTCCTACAAACTGATCGATGAATTACTTTAGATTAAAGTAACAGCTTGTGCCTTGTAAAGTTTTTTCTTTTTATAAAGAAGATCCACTTATCATTAATGTTAATATTTAAATATTGGTCACACCAAATCTAAATTTATGGCTAATCTTGAGGAGTTATTTGGCCCCACATTCAATAGTATGATTTTACAAAATATCAAAGATTCAGTGATTGATTATGGCCAAAATTTCATACTTCAGTTCGTAACTTATGAAATAGTACATCAAATTTCCTGAAAATCAAAGAAATCCCATGATCACCTGAAAATCATCTCTTGTGATGAAGAGAAATATACCCTTATTAGTCGTTCCCAAAAATAATAACCGACAAATATATATATATATATATATATATTGGCTAGTAAAAATCAGCCGGTCAAGCTCTCGCTATGTGCGGGGTCCAGGAAAAAGAGTCTATTGTACGCAGTCTTACCCCGCATTTCTACAAGAGGCTATTTCCACGGCTCGAACCCGTGACCTCCTGATCACATGGCAGCAACTTTACCAATTACGTCAAGGCTCCCCTTCCAATTGGCTAGTGAATGCAATTAATTTTGGCCAACCGGCCAACTTTGTATTTTCCCAACAAGGAACACTCTTTGCATTAGAGCATTGACATCCCAAAGACCAACACATCAATGATCAAACACATGAAACAAGCAAAACTTAGGACAAACAGATCCTACAATATCACAAAATAACAAAGCAATTCCATAGTAACAAAACCATATACTTAATACCAATAATAGCCTAAGGCGACCGGACTAGTAAGAAACAAAAGCTACATTGTTGATGAGCAAAAGAAAATACCAAGGACATTTAATATGAATTTCTCTATTTCATCGTAAATCTTCAGACTAGAATCTCAAAACAGCAACATATCAGAAGAAGCATCGATAGGTTGAATAGGGCAAGGCAGCTGCCATGGCTCAAGCAAAGTGTCGGGAATTTCAGAGAGGTCCACAGGGAATCCAGTAGCGTCAGCCCAAAATTGAGTGAGCGAGTTCAATGAATTCAAACGTTCAGTCAATTCAGCAATCTGAGCCCTCAACACATTGTTTTCTGCATCCATCGCACGATAATTTCTCTCGACAGAATCAATCCTCTCGCGGCAGATACTGTTCTGTTTATGTAGCTGTGTTGTTTCGCTCATCAACTCCCCCAATCGCTGTTGCTTCCTCATCCGTGACCTACGAGCAGACTCACGGTTGGATTCCATTCTCTTCCTTTTCCTTTCGTCAAATTTTGCATACTGCTGGTCTGCATCAGAAGCAGAACTCACCGCTTGCTGAGTGGAAGCCATGTCGACTTGGTTGACAATCAATATGTGAAACAATGGGAAACTTTGTATTCTCTCTTTTTGTTAGATCAGAAAATGTTGGTAGTGTAGCTAAGAAAATCCTAAAATTAAATTGGACAGGGACAATGATGACGATGGCTAGTTCATGAAATTACGTAGAACCAGTAAAGAAAGACTACTGAGAAAGAGTGCAGAATACGAATACGACGCATCTGGATAGCGTATGTCATTAATAATTTTGGAACTAGGAACAAAACATGGAAATTGTTTAAGAACCCCGAATCAATTTTCCAGAATCAGTCAAGTCTCTGATTAGATCCAAATCCAAAGAGGGGGTGAAGGTTTTAACAAAAAAGATCTGCAATCATACACAATAATCAATATCATTAAAACTGCCAAAAAATAGATCAAAGGGCAAACCGAAGTCAATCATAACAAGAACCCAAATCAATAAACTAAGTTTCACCTGAATTAATTGAGGTCGGCTTCATGAATCATCAGCTCTATTAAACTATCTTAGACCATCTTTACGTTGATGAACAACAACAACAAACCCAATATAATCCCACAAGTGGGGTCTGGGGAGGGGATTTGTGTACGCAGACTTCACCCCTACAGTGAATGTAGAGAGGTTGTTTCTGGTAGACCCTCGGCACGAGATTGTCTTTATGTTGATGATTGACCTAAAAAATTACTTTGGATATAAGACATTCCCATACAAAGGAAAGGTAAAACTGTAAAAGTACTATAGTTCACATCTTTTCTTAATTAATGTTTAAAAAGTTCTAATCTTTCAATCCTAACAAGAACCCAAATCAATAAACTAATTCCCACCCAAATTAATTGAGCTTCATACTTACAATAATCAGCTCTATAAAACTATTTTAGACACCTTTATTTTGATAATTACTTTGGATATGAGTAATTCTGCTAAAGTTCAAATCTTTTCTAATTTTGGGTTAAAAAGTTTAGATCTTTCAACCAATATATATACTAATAAGTATTCATTATTGGGTTCGACATAAAATCCATCTGCTTTTTGCCTCTAATTTTTTTTAGATTAATTATCCATCTTCTCTTTATCTGTACAAGAATTATATATATAAAAAAAAAAAAGCAGTCCAGTGCAATAAGCTCCCGTTATGTGCGGGTCATTTCTGCACGACTGTACAAGAATTATAAGGATAGAAAAAGAAACTGAAATCAAAGAAAGACCCAGATATAAAAAAAGGGTTGAAGAGTTAATCTTAACAGAAATCGGAATTAAAATAAACAAATAGAAGAACTAAAAGCCGACAATAAAAATAATAAACAACAAAAAACATAAAATGAAAATACAGAAAATAAAGAAACCAAAAAGGAAAAAAAAAAAAAAGGAAAAGGAGAATGAGGCATACCTTTGCAAATGAGAAGAACAAAAGGGTCGAAAGAATGTAATGAAGGGTGAGAAGAGGGGTTTATATAGGGGAAGTGGAACAAGGCTTTTGAGAAAATTAAGGAATTTTTTTTTATTATTTTAAGGAAAGTTTTATCATAGGTGTAATGTGGTTGGCTGCAGCCTCATGACAGCTAAACTGAGTTTAAAGCCTGAGGTAAGCTTCCTTTGCCTTTCCTTTTTTTTTTTTTATCCACATTACAGCTCAATTATACTTGAATTTGCGCGGCTAGAGTTCCATTCGAGGGAAGCGCTCGCCTATCCTTATTTGTTGCAAAATTCAAAATATTTCCAAATTTTTTATTACCTAATCCACGTTTTTATTGTGCATGTAACAATTTTTTTTTTTTTTTACCATTTTCATATGTAGCGTGTTTGAACTAATCTATCAAATTTAAGATTTATAATTAAAGATGAAAGGATCATATTTATTCTCTCGCAATCCTTGGTGATACTTGCAATATCTTTATTATGTAAGTCTTGAAGATCTTACCCGATATTATTATAGAAAATAAATAATCTAATTTCTTTGTTAATCCTTTGATGATATGGTTTTAATAAGAAAAAGTTTCAAATACCTTCTTTTTGAATTTTGATTTGTAACAATAACTTCTCTTGTGATTTGTAATATTATAGTTTTTCCTTATTTTTATATTTTTGTAATAATTATTTTTTCTTATTTATCGATTATCATTAGTGTAAACCATTGCAATCTGTCTAATTTGTCCATCATTATCCGCGTGTAATGAAAGTTTTTTTTTTTTTTTGTGAGCAATGAATAATAACTGATTAACCTATGTAATTTATTGGCTTTTTCATGTCTTGTTTAGTAATAAAAATTCAAAATAAGACTTTTTGTTGATTGACCTTTTGGTTAAAAAAAATATTTCGTAAATTGGGTGGTTCAATAAATTTGGGGGCCTAAAGCGCAAACTCTTATGAGAGGCCTTATTTGAAGTTAACATTTTATTAGTTTTTTGAGATGTAAAGTTATTCAGAAAATATTATAATTACTTTTTTCTAATAAAAATATAGCTAACCCATTTAATCAATCTTGAGACATGTTGATCTTAAGTAATATTTTAATTTTAATTTTAAAAAAATTCTTACTGTTGAAACAATTGTTAGAGGAACTGTTAACATTATTTTATGAGAAATCTACATGGGCATTTGGAAATGTAACATAATTGTTTACAAGATAACATGTACACCTAATGTTGTATGGTGGTCCGGGCCCGGGCCTAAATGGGCTAAACGGGCCGGGCTAAACGGGCCGGGCTTAGCGGTCCCGGGCTTCACGGTCCCGGACTTCGTGGGCTCAACGGGTGGAACCAGCTCATGACGGGCCTAAGCCCATATGGTCCTGGGCTAAATGGGCCGGGCTCGTGTGCTTAGCGGGCCTAACGGGCTTTTCTATTTCCGGGCTTTTTTTTTTAATTTTTTTTGTTTAAGGCAATTTCTTGTAAACCATATATGTATGTATATATATAAATTGCTCTTATACATGGCTATATAAATATATGTAGTATATATAATATAGAAATCTAATTATTAAAGTGCTTGACGAAAAAGTAAAATAACAAAACAATAGTAAAACTAAATTGGCATGCATAATAAATTAATAACAAAGTACAACATGAAGCATAAATACGTCTAATAATTTTAAAATAACACAAATTGTTGAAAAATCTTAAAGACGAATTTGCGGATAAATACCCTCAACACAATACTTTATATGCCTCCTTAAAATGCCTGTGGTACACCCTGAACGAAAATTTAAGACTCTTCCACAGTTTTTGCACTTTAATATTTGGCCTTCTTCATTTTCTTCAAGCACTTCATTGTATTGCGAAACAAATAAGCGCACTCTTTCCGAAAGAGGCATGATTTAACTTGAAAATTGAGATTGAGACTTGAAGTCTTGAAAATTGGAGATTGAGAGATTGAGAGAAATTTAGATTGAGAATGAGTATTGAGTATTGAAATGAAGAAGAGGGAGGGGGGTATTTATAGTGTTAGAGAAGGTTAGTTTTGTAAATTAAAAAAAATGGCTATTTGTGCAATATGACCGTTGGTGGTCATTGGGGGTGGGGCCCTCATTTTGAAAAATCTTGTTTTGTGGTATATATAGTACTACTTCTTCAAGTATATATAATATATATAGTATACTAGTATAGTATACTATATATAGTATGTTATGTATATATATTCCCTTATATATTTTTTTGTAGTATATATTGTATGTTATATATATATATTCCCTTATATATTTTCTTTTAGTATATATTGTATGTTATGTATATATATTATAGCTTATAAATAATTGCAAGTTAAAGACAAAAAAATATTGCAAAGAGATATTCAAGGGCATGTCTTATAATTTTTATTACCAAAAATGGCATATCTTTCTTAGTCTTCTTCCCCCCAATGGAATGAGCACAACAAGTACTAATACCACCATTAAAAGGAAAAAAAACTAAAGAAGACGTGCCAAAGTACAAGTTACACCATAATCTACATTGTATCTCTAACAAATCTCATAAATCCTTCAAGGTTCGGAGGAGGTTCCGTTGGTGGTGGTGGAAAAGAAGCTTGTTCATCACCACTTCCGGGCGAAGCAGCATCCTCCGCAAGTTCCGCTATCATTTCTTCATAAGCTTCATCTATCTCCGGTTGTGACTCCGCAAGTCCAAAGTTTCTTCTTTCCGAGCGGATCCAATCTCTGAACAGTACTGATTTTTCCAAGCTCTACCTCATAGACGCTCTATGATCACCTATTTGAAGTCTTGCTTGACTGAAAGCGCTCTCTGATGCAACAGTTGAAGCTTGAATAGCTAAAATATCCTGAGTCATCCTTGCAAGAACCGGAAAATGTTTTTCCCTTGCCTTCCACCATTCCAAAAGATCAAAAGTGCCGTCTGGATTCTCCTTTTCAAGTCCCTGCGACAAATAAACTTGAAGCTCATCTAGATGTGAAGTTTCATCATAATTATCACCTTGAGAACCCATGAACTCCGTCCAAGATTTAAGTGCTTTTAAGCCCACAGCTCAGTTAGACGATTCTGAACTAGACGAAGTAGGGGTTGGAACATTGGCCTAGCATGATCTAAGGCAAGTTGATAAGCATTATAAATTGTTTGAGTATTAATTTTAATTGAGGCTTTTGCATCTGCAAGTGTAGCAAATTCCTCATTGAAAGATCTAAAGCCTTATAAATATTTGAGTACCAAAAGTGAGGACCTCCTAATTTCATTGTAGGATTTAACATTGCAGCAACACCATAAATAGGGGGGATAGGGAAAAAATATTTTTTAAACTTTTCTTTCATTGCATTTATAGCAAGTTTATAAATTTCCCACCCTCCAAAAATTCAACAAACAAATCACATAGTGCTGCAATATAAACTAAACAGCTTGAAATAGTAGGATAATATTGCCCAGAAAATGCATTTGTAGCAATTCGAAAATGTTCTAAAAAATCTATAAGAATTTTAACATTCGTCCAATCTTGATTTGTAAGGATTTCATCATCATCCTCACCACCAACACGAGCATTAAACGTTGCATTAATTGGGTTTCTATATTCATATGCAACTACTAAACTTTCGTACATATAATTCCATCTAGTCGGACAAGGTTTAGGAACCTTTCTTTCTCTAAGGCCATATTCATCACATTTTTTAAAATACTCTCTAAGTCTACTTCTACGGTTTGAATAAAAAAGCCAATTAAGAGCCATTCTAACCTTTTCAATTTCTAAATTTAAAATTCGCATACCATCACCGACAATTAAATGATAAATATGACAAATACATCTTGCATGGAATATATTACTAAATGCAGGATTTAGTGTTGTTGTAAGTATGCCTATAGCACTAGTGTTACTAGAAGCATTATCCATAGAAATTGCCATTATTTTATCTCTAATGCAGAAATATCTACAAATATCTGCAACAGTGTTAGCAATAAACTTACCTGTCTGACGTGAATTAATTATTCTATATGCAATAATGCGTTTTTGCATTATCCACTCCTCATCTGTCCAATGACTTGTAACAGTTAGATAATCACAGTCATTATTACTTCTACCAATATCAGTAGTAATAGAAATCCGATTAGTTATATGAGTAAATAAATACCGCAAATATTGTTCATATTCATGTTTATATTTATAAATATCGTTCTTAACTGTTGCGCGAGGCAACCTTTATAAGTAGGATTAAAAACTTTTCTAATATAATGCACAAAATTAGGATTAGAAGGAAAAGTATAGGGTAAGCACATAACGGTAACCATCTTTGCTAATTCTTCACGATCTTTATTTGGATCGTAATATAAAATACCTCCGGTCACAGTGTTAATTCCTGGTTGAACTAGATTTGAACCTGTGCTAGGGTTAACCGCAGTATCTACACTTGTCCCCTCTAGCTGCGCTTTCATTTGCAAATATCTAACTTTATCTCTAGGGTGTGTTTGTATGTGCCTAGCCAAGAATAATAGGAGCAGCAGGACGGGTAACAAGTCTGGGTCGGGGAGCCGGGGGAAAGGTAATAGGTTGGCGACTACTTTCACCAATTTTAGCTTTTCCCTTACCACCAAACACTTTTTTCAAAGAAAATGCCATATTAATTACAATTATGCAAACTAAAACACACAAAAATATATTCTTAAAACTTAAGAGTTAGAACGAGTTTACCGAATTGCCGAACAACTTCTTGAAAATTGAAAATCATTGAAGACTTGAATACTTCAATTCACCAACTTCACAATTTTTCACGAAATTGCAATAATAAAATAATCAATTATAGAAGAGAATTAGATATAGATTGAGAGAGATTGATGAATTGGTGAGTAAAAATGAAAGAATGAGGGGGTATTTATAGTTGAGAATTGGGAAAAAGTATAATTATATAAAGTTTGGGGGCCAAATGGCTATTTTTTAAAGTGGCCAACGGATAAATTATGAAAGCCAACGGCTAGATTTTAAAAATCCGACCGTTCATTTTTTTTTTTAAAAAATAGCCGTTGGAGCCCGTTAGGCCCGGTTGAACCGG